TATATATCGGTTGATACCTACGTGATTTTATAACTATAAAAAAGAAGTTAGTATTCAGTACTACACAGTGATACGGGAAATTAATGGTTTTGGAATGTTATATTATAATATCTACTTTGGTAGGTATGTTTATACTTACTGGTTAATATCTATGATACTATGAAACGAGTAAATCGTACAGTGCAGAGTTGGCATAGGTATTCTGGTTTCATCATCATCATCATCATCGTTACAGCTATTCACAAGTCCACTGCTGAACATAGGCCTCCCCCAAGTAATGCTACAAAGCACGGTCCTAAGCCAACTGCATCCATCGACTTCCTGCACGTCTTACCAGGTCGTCACTCCATCTAGTGGGGGTCGCCCTACACTACGCCTACCGGTGCGAAGCGGCCCCTCGAGAACCTTTCTTCCCCATCGGTTATCAGCTTACTAATCCGTTGGGGTATGTCAGTCACTCTGGTTGTACTGCGGATATGCTCATTTCTGAGTTTATCATGCAGGGAAACTCCGAGTACCCTCTCCATAGCTCGATGAGCGACCTTGAGCGTCTTCATACGGCCGGCAGTGAAGGACCACGCCTCAGATCTGCAAGTCATCAGTCATTATTTAATATTCTGGTTTACAGAATAATAATTAATTTTATATTTCAAATAAACTAAAATGAATATCACGTGTTCTTTCATGCGCTTATAGTTCGTGAGAATTTCATATTGTGTATCTATCATAGATATTATACATTATTATTATTATTTTTGAGGAGTTCTGTAAAGTGACACTGTACTGGAGCAGTATCTAATACATATATTGAGGGTTTACTGGTAAAACGAGCATTATCTGCAATTGTTTGTGAAATTGAGTTAAATATGAGATATCTACGACTCAGATTTTTTTTCTCATTTTCTGGTAAAACCAACTATTTCATATGACCATTATTTACGGAGATATTTTGTGCCAATACCGTGTATTAGCATGGTAGATAGAATAAAAAGGTCCTCTTAAAACAGCTTTATGTCTTTATTAGTCGGAACATGTTACGATTCCATAACTTATGTAGCTATAAAGATAAGTTCCAAAATGCTTACTTGGTGAAACAGTTATATTTATATTATATATTTTATATATATATATATATATATATATTTTAAACAGATCACAAAATGTTATTTAGATTTATTTAGCAGGAAAAACCGAATAAGTGCTCCTAGCTGTTAAGTTTTTTTTCTTCAGATAAGTGTTTATCTGCTTTTACATTAAACCTAATACATGAAAAACATCAAATGAGTAAACAAAATTAAATAATAGCAGTAAAGGAAGAACAAATGTCATAGGATTATTTAGAGCAGTTGCCTCAATTGATCATACGGAGCAAATTGAAGAGATCGAGATATAGCAGATTACTTGAAATTATTAAATGTAGAAGGAGGAACTCTTTACTCTCTTGATGAAGTCTTTCTTCAAGGTTCCAGGAGCATGCCCACAGGATATAGAGCTGTTCTAGTATCGAATCTTTTATCAAAAATGAGATTAACTTCATAATGGCGCCAATAGGTCCGTAATCGTGAGAGAAAAAACTGGTAAAAAACACCGAATTATGAGAGGCACCTGAGATTTTAAGTGAGATTGAGAGGTTATTAAGGACAGCCGTACACACCATTATTGGATGAACTTGAAAACGCTCATTAAATATGATTTATTTGATTGTTGGTACAGCAGCCCTATCTTAAGGCTTCGAGTCCTTTACACAAGAAAAGTTAAACTGATAATGTTTTAGACTATAATATAGAGTGACGTCCCTGTAGTATTAACGAAGATTTACTCAATTTCAATTAATAACTGAGCTCAGCTTACATCTAATGAAAAACACCGCAGCTCAAATTACGCTATCAAAGTTTCGAAGCTACCGCACTTTATCTAGAACTGCTCCGAAATATCAAATGGAGCGTTGGCCGCTCCCCAGGCAGGACACCTTACCCGATAAGAGCTATAAATATCCTTCAAAAGCTGTTTGATTCTATCTTTCGTGGTAGCATTATAGAGCCTACCGTACTTCTAGCTGTCCCTAAGGAGTGAAGCAGATATGCATTAGACTTTTCCTTAAAAAAAGGCAACAACAAGTCTCTTTTGAAGAACTTCATTTTTTTTCATGTTCAGTCTCAGCTGCTGCTACGTGTCGTATTCTAAGAAAATAACAAATTATCTCGCTAGTGGAATTGATAATTTCCAGCCTGTGGAACAAGCCGATTTACGAAAAGGACATATTATCATAGACAGCTTGACTAGACTTGAACCCATCGTAATTTGGACGGTGCTACAGTCTCTTCAGCGATGCGAAGTCAATTAAATTTATACTTCTTTACTACTTTGAATAAATATATATTTATTCAAAGTAAATCGGTATATCGATGTTGAACTTTTTATACAGTAGAGATACGATGGCGATGTAATTACTGAACCAGAGTAAAGAAACTATCCATTTGGAGAGAGCTGTAAGACAGGGTGACGTTATATCCCCAAAATTGTTCACCGCTGCTTTGCAAGACGTTTTTCAAGCAACTGGACTAAAAGTGATACGATATCAACATCAATAGCAAGCCCTCTTTGATTTGCCGATAATATAGTCATTATGCCAGAATCGCTGTAAGTAAATAAGCACTATTATCTATGATCTCTTTATTTTTTCGCAACACATTGGGCTTAAAATTAACATGAACAAGATAAAGACCATTTGTAATCTGTTTTTTGTTGTTTATCACATTTATACTGTTTTTTTGGAGCACTTCGTTTTTGATGTCAATCATGTTAACTTAAAACAAATTGTCACAACGATCAAGCGACAGATTCAATTCAGCTGGGTAGCATTCGGGAGATAACGTAAACCTTAAAACTTGGAAACGTGGAGAGCGTATAAACAGCATGTGTTGCCAGTGATATTACACGCAAAATACATATTAGACGTGGTCTTTCATTTTCAACCATGTGAGGAAGTTTAAGGTCGATCAGCTTGTTATGATAATGGCTATGTTCGGAATTTCTCTAGGTGATAGACGTCGTGACGAGGATTTCCGCATTATTATAATAAAAGTAACCGACAAAGCGCAATGGTTCAACTGAAGTGGAAATTGGCCGCTATATAGCCACAGTTATATAGCAACCACTGACAACCGATGAGGAATATAGTTTCGAGTGGTGACCTAGTACTGGGAATCGATGTGAAGGTTGATTTCCCACTAGATGGCGTGATGACCAGGTACTAGATACAGAAAGCCGATGGATGCGGTTGGCTCAGAATCATGTTTTGTAGTAATCCTTTGGTTTTAATAATTATATATGAGGCTACGCGCTTGAAAAAAGGGTATATCAACGTTTATTACAAAAAACCAAAAACCATTAACCAAATTACATATAACATTTGTTGTAAATTATATTCATCTTTGGTTTATATCATTGTTATAAAAAGAAATATCTTGTAAAACTTTATCATACATACATAATACATAAACACTCACGCCTGTCACCCAGAGGGGTAGGCAGAGACTACAGACTTCCATTTGGCATGATCCTCACCTCATCCTGATCCACACGTCTCTCGCCTCCTTCACATCCATATACCTACGCATACATGCTCGTCAGTTAAAGGGTACTCAAAATTTGGCCCGTTTTCAATAAATCGCCAATTTGGTCGATAAATTTTCGCCTAGGACGTCCCTTTCCGACACTGCCATTCCCTTCTGCAACGTAAATTTTTTTTGTCACTCTTTCCTCATTCATTCTTTCCACATGACCAAACCACCGAAGCATTCCTTTCTTAATCCTGGTCACAACATCCTCTAGCAAACCACACTCTTCTCTTATTACACAATTTCTTACCCTGTCATTCAGATTCAGCCTGTCATTCAGATTAAAACTTTATCATGTCTAGAAAAATTAGATAGATATTAATTCAGGTTCAGATTTAGAAACTTTAAATATATTGTATTTGGTTTTGAAATGCGTGTCGATAAAGCTGGTAATATTTTTGTTTTTGTATATTTTCTATATCTTTTCGGGTAAATCCAGTAACGCTTTTATGTTTTGATTATTATGTGAAACGTATCACATTTTGTAAGTAAATAATAGTTGGTAATTATATAAATAGGCTTTACAGATCGTGTAATGTAAGAGAATATTCAAGAAAGACCTATGAACACGAGAAAAACAGAATTTTAAGATGGAGAGGTAAAACCAGTTAACTACTTGACCTTTCGTATTTTTTTTAATTTTTTGCAAAATTTTAATTAAAACGCCTTTTTTCTATCAAATAGCTCTATTTTAATAATGTAACGAAATGTTAAGAAAGTGAATGTGAAATGTTATGAATTTTTAGTTTTCATAGTTTTCTCAATTTTGCTTAATTGACAGGTAACTTCGATAAAGTTTTTTTTTTTTTTTTTTTTTTTTTTTTTTTTTTTTTATATATTTCTTTTTCTTTTTCACATTTTTCCTCTTTTTCTTCGTAAAACTTTATTTTTATGTTTCTATTTTATAATTTTTGTAGTATCGCCCACTACAAAAATGTCATCATTCATCATCATTACAGCCCTTTCACAAGTCCACTGCTGAACATAGGCCTCCCTCAAGGTATGCAACAAAGCACGGTTCTGAGCCACCTGCATCCATCGACATCCTGCATGTCTTACCAGGTCGTCAATCCCTCTAGTGGGGGGTCGCCCTACACTTCGTCTACCGGTACGAGGCTGCCACTCGAGAACGTTTTTTTCCCCAACGGTTGTCGGTTCTTCGAGCTATATGACCGGCCCATTGCCACTTCAGCTTACTAATCCGTTGGGCTATGTCGGTCACTCTGGTTCTACTGCGGATATCCTCATTTTTAAGTTTATCACGCAAAGAAACTCCGAGCATAGCCCTCTCCATAGCTCGCTGAGCGACTTTGAGCGTCCTCATACGGCCAGCAGTCAAGGAATACGTCTGATGTTCAAAGTTCTTTTCCCAGTTGTATGTTACAATATACCATCACTGGCAACACGCATTTTGTCGTTTGCCTGGATGTACAACTTAGTTTTCAGGTTTTGATGTATACCTGACGAGAAGATGTGTCGTAATTTCCCGAACGCTGCCCAGCTGAGTTGAATCCGTCGATTGATCTCTCGGTCGAAGTTGGACTTACCAAGCCGGACTATTTGTCCCAGGTAAACGTACTCGTCAACAACTTCAAGCTTAGTGCTCCCAACAACTACAGGCATAGGTGTGAGATGGAAATTAAACATGATCTTTGTTTTGTCCATGTTCATCTTTAGACCTATCCGTTGGGAGGCACAATTGAGGTCATTGAGCATAGTGCTTAAGTCCTCCAGCGTTTCCGCCATAAGGACTATATCGTCGGCAAATCGAAGGTGAGTGATGTACTCGCCATTGATGTTAATACCGTATCCTTTCCAGTCCAGTAGCTTGAAAAAGTCTTCCAATGCAGCGGTGAAGAGTTTCGGGGAAATAACGTCACCCTGTCTTACACCTCTCTGCAGTTGGATAGGTTTCGTACTCTGGTTCTGTACTCGGATAGCTATCGTAGCCCTACTGTACAAACACTTCAGCACTTCGATATACCGGCAGTCAAATTGGAACCGCTGAAGAGACTGTAGCACCGCCCAAATTTTGTCGGAATCAAAGGCTTTCTCATAGTCCACTTTCGCCATGTAAAGTGGCAGACTGTACTCTTCGGACTTCTGTAAAATTTGCCGAAGGGTATGTTTGTGGTCTATGGTACTAAAGCCTTTTCGGAAACCGGCTTGTTCGGGAGGCTGGAAGTCGTCGAGTCTGCGTGCTAGACGATTCGTAGTGACTCTCGAAAACAGCACTTAGACGCGGCTCAGAATGGATATCGGTCTGTAGTTCTTCAAGAGGGCATTGTCACCTTTCTTCAAGAACAATACCACCGCACTTCTGCTTAACGCATCCGGAGTGGTGCCACAATGGAGGACGGAATTAAAGAGCCTCTGAAGGACTTCATGTACCGGTTTTCCACCCGCTTTCAGAAGCTCCGCTGTAATTCCATCCTCGCCCGGGGACTTGCCGTTTCTAAGGTGCTGGAGAGCCATTCTAATCTCGCTCAGACTGACGTCCGGGATATCATCGGAATAGTGTCGGATGATACACGCTCTTGGATCGTTACTCACACTTGCGTGTGGCTCCAACGATGATGTGTACAGCTGCCCATAGAACCTCTCACTCTCACTCAGAATCTCAGGTGTCCCGGAAACGATGCTGCCACACTCAGTCTTAAGCTTTGATAGTTGGCTCTTTCTGGCAGACAGATCTCTGGCAAAGACTTTGGATCCCTGGTTCCGCTCAACCGCTTCTTCAATACGAGCAGTATTAAATATGCATAAGTCTCGCCGCATGCATTTGGAGATCTGTCTGTTCAGTTGCCTGTATGCTGTCAAATCTGTTGACGATTGCAAATTCATCTGCAGTCTAACTGCCATGAGATTAAGAGTGTGACCGGAGAGCTTTTGTGTTCTTCTGCGGCCGGTCTTGCAGAACTTAGCTCCGACCGCATGGACAGTTTCCACGAGCTTGTCATTCATATCGTCCACTGCATTGCAATCTTCTAGGCACTGAAAGCGGTTACGTAACTCGAGCTGAAAGGTTTCGGGATTCTGGATTAGAGCACGAGGGGGACGGAGCGTTGACTTCTTTAGACGAGACCTCTATAACTTAACGTTTAGGTTCAGTGTGCGTCTAACCATTCGGTCATCGCTGCCAGTTTTCACCCTTGCGATTACTAAGATATCACTGAATAGTTGGCGTCTGGTCGTCATAATGAATTCAATCTCATTTTTTGTCGAACCGTCGGGGCTCGACCAGGTCCACTTCCTGTGGGGCCGCTTCTGGAAAAAAGAGTTCATCATAAAGAGTCCCTCTTTGTCCATGAAGTCGGCCAGCTGCTGGCCCCTACGGTTCCGTTGCCCTACTCCAAATTTCCCTAACTTCAGCTCACCGCTTTCTCTTGTGCCTAGTTTTGTTTTGAAGTCTCCCATCAACACCGTGTAGTTGGTTTTGGAGGAATGCATGGCTCTAGAAATATCCTCATACATTTCCTCCACCTCCTCATCGTTATGTGCCGATGTACGCACCACGTAAACCTGTATGACCTTCAGCGAATACAGTTTGGTGATTCTGAGTATCAGGTACGCGATCCTCGTCGACACACTCCCAATCTTTACAACGTTGTTGACGAGAGACTTGTGCACGATAAATCCGACACCTTCTTGGGACAGATGGTCGTCCTCCCGGTGATAGATCAAGTTGCCCGACTCGAGGATTACCGTGTCCTCTCCCTCTCTTCGGACCTCGGATAAACCAATAATATGCCAGCGCAACTTGTCTACCTCTTCTTCCAACTCCAGTATCTTCTCGTCAGTCCTGCTGCGTTTTGTTGCCTGGTCGAGTCGTCGTAGGTGGCAACCGAACCTCTACCGAAGATTTTTAGCACCCCCTGCCCCGCCGTTACCAGGTTGCCACCGTAGCCAGGAATAGCGGGGCCGCCGGGGACTGAGGACCGTTTGTTTGCGTTGTTACTCATGGCGGGATATTTGCCATAGTTGCCACGCTTGGCGACCGGGTTGGCAACCGCAATTTTTTATTATATCATTGCTGTTATCAGGAAGATGCTGCTACACATCTCCTGCCTGTCTCCCTCTGTCGCCTCTTACGACACCCACGGGAAGATATGGGGTAGTGGATATTCTCAACCGCCACTACACGGCATACTGCAAAAATGTATATTTAAACAATCTTAACGAGTAATATTCGCACGAATTCTCACTTTCCTTGTAAAGAATGTATGTTACAAAATGCTATTTTATTGTACGACAGAGACGCCTTTGTGTCAAAGTTCCTTTATCTTGTTAGTAATTGAATTCTTCACGAATCTTCTAATGTGAATGTGCTTGTAACCGGTACCTATTGTACTCGTATTGTGTATACAACTGGACCTTTAATGAAATTTGTATTTGTCACGTTTACACATTTGTCCCTCCAATTCACTTAATAATTATTTCAGAGAAATGTTTTTTATTCGTTACATAGCCGCAACCGCTAATAGGTTAGCGTGGAATTAATACTTTTGTTATGATAAGTGATGATAGTTTATTTGTACTTTTAGCAGTCTTAAACGAATACAAAAAAACAAATATGGATAAATACATTCAGTTACTCAATAAATCAGATAAACTCACGGAACGAGAAATAAAAAGGATCACAATTTAACCAACGGATGGCCCCACAAACGAAACAAGAAATGAATTAAGCAAACTATAAGCTTGTGTTTCATATAATAAATAAACAACAAAATAAAATACATATTCGCAGTAATGTAATCCACTATTTGTTCACGAATTTCTATAACTAACAATTGTAATAACCTACAACATATAAGAAATTACCCTAAATTAGCAAACTTCGTCACCAATTATTACTTGATGTCTCCGTGGCGCAGTGGATTAGTCATTAGTTGCAGCGCTAAGGACCGCGAGTTTGAATCCCGCATGGAACAAATATTTGTATAGCCTACAAATTATTACTTCGTGTCTGGATGTTTGTCCTTGCGAAATTTATGTGTGTGAACTACCCCCACAGCTAAGGAGAAACCCTATTGTGAAGGTAACGTTTTAAAAAAAATATTGAAACAACGGTATGAGATATTATAATACCATTAGTATTGATTTTAAATTACAACCCAATGTTTACCGAAAATAAGAATATAATTACACGTATAAAGTAAATAAAATTACGTTAGTTTCTATATTATGTCTCTTCCACCTAGAAACATGAAAAATAAAACTATCCTCAACCCAGCAAAGTCCTTTAGCCTTTGATTTATATCTGTAATCAGTCAAAATCAGTTGTTTTCTCTCAATAACTTCCGCGGCAGTCATGGTCATGCAGCGCAGAGTCAGGATGTAAACGGTGTCTCATTCCTGCGCCTCAGAAAACAGGAATGGTGCGGTTTTGAGTCTGATTTCTCTGATTCTCGTCTGATTACCGTCGCATAGGACTATGAAAGTGAGGCAATAGAAAGTGCACATGTGATATACACATTTGTGAACCCTAATTCTGTCCTCCGCCATTAGGTTACAAAGTACTCCTTTGATAATTTCTACCACAGATAACTATTACTCGTTACGGAAAATATTTATTTTTTACTACGCGGATCTTAGCTTCTTAAATTTTAACATTTTTGATTTTCCTCAATCGCCTCCAACGACACTCGAGAGGCAAACTTGTGGTAATGGTTTTTCTAGGTGGAAACAGAATTCGGAATTTTGTCAATTTTTTGTATATAATCATTCTATGTAGCGGCGATATAATAATATCCACCACCTCATATCATCCCGTGGGTGTCTTAAGAAGCCTCAGAGGGAAAAAAATCAGGCAGTAGCATCTTCTAAATAAGTGTTAGCATTTAAACTGGCGTTGGTCACGTTTATGCAATACTACGTACAAAGTGACTGAAACGGCAGTCAAAGACTTAAAAATGAAAAAACTGTGATTTCCAACCCGCGTGCCAAGCGTGGCTTATGAAAAATATTTCCCCTATGAGGCAATCTATACGGAAGACCTATGTTCAGCAGTGGACTTTAATAGGCTGTAACGGTAACGGTAACGGTCATCAGTCAGAGCTGCAGTTGCAGGCGCAGAGCGTTCATAATGAATCGTCAGAAACGTATTCTTGAAAATTTATTTCAGCTCGGATAATTCAACGCTACGTTTTAATACAAAGTAAGCCACGAACGGCTTCCATTGTCTCAAAATTCCACAAATTATAAACTTTTGTAGAATATAGCGCTACTCGTAACCCGTAAACGCGGTATTAATTCTAACACCATTCAAGAGCAATTTTGATAGCATAACTTAATCTTCGGGGAAAAGTTTCCATATAAATTCCCTCCACTAGTTTGCTCATACAAATGGATTTCCGTGAACAATAAAGTAACTTTTATTTGTTATAGTATAAAAGGGCAGCCGTGAAGCTTATTGGTCAATGTAGTCTCTGGACGTTGTTGTTGTTATATATGGATTTCCTAAATGTAACGCCTGATTCTAATAGTTAGAAGTCTTTAAAGTCAAATGTTCGATTACCTATCGGAATCAGAAACTTATTATACAATATAGACAATTTCTTAGTGTACCATGCCAAAATTTACAACACGAAACTTTACAGGAATTACGTCGGTGTCCATCTGTCAAAAAATTGTCTCCAAGAAAATCGTGAAAAACATTTTTCTCAGAGACTATTTCAAATAATAATTAGAGACATTTTAAAATCTGTGGCCCTTCCGTGATAGCCAAATTGACTTTCCATAATTGCTAACACCTTACGCTTCAGATGAATATTACGCTAACAGAAAACTCTAAAATATAAGGGGAACTTTAAGTCGCGTAAGTGAGACATTAATAATAATAACCCAAAATTTCAAATAAAAAAAACAAACACATGCGAAAATAAAAAAATGTTTCCGCCCGGGACGGAAGCACAAATGAAAACCGCTACACTACGGAAACAACTAAATCACGCTATTATACTAACATACTGGAATTTTAGATATTGTTCTATGTCTTTATACTTATACATTAGATAGTAATCACCCTATTCCTAACCTCACCTACCTAACCACATATACCTAAGGTATTCATACTTGAAAAGGACCAGGTCGGATTTCCCTCTTGATCCTGAAAAGGACCAATTGAAAGGGACCTAGCGGATCGGGTACTAAGAAACAGGAATCGAGGCTTCTCTCGATCCGGCCTCCTATAACGCCTACGTTGGGTTCGGGAACAACGTATGTGATCTCCGCAACGGAGTAACACACAAGGGCGATAACCTCTTCCTTTTCAGCAAGTAGGTTCAGACGGGGATTACGGGTCTTCCGAAGTCGTCCCGGTCCCGACGCCTTAATTCTTCGATGTGGACTGTATAACTTAAGGGATGAATTACTTGGGAATGAAACAGCAATTATCTTCAAACCGTTCCGTGAGAGAGTAATCACTTTTCCCTATCACTTCCCTACACTTTTTCTTTCTTCTTCTTATTGACTGCTGGTAAGATCCCCGAACGATTTCCGAACGAATTGCAATAAAACCCGTTCACTAAGCTACCCCAGAGCTATACGCGAAAGTGAGCCGCGCCATTCGCGCGCTTGCGCAACTCAATTACATGAATTTGTACTATTACTCTCTCACGTTTCACTCAATATCTTTATTTATTCAAATCATATACAAATACAATTTATCAATATAGGTAGTACAAAACAATATCTACACCATGATATACATCATATCCTCATATCATAAAAAACCTTTTATTTATTAAACGAAAACTGCCTATTTTACTCACAAGTTCGAAATCGAAATTTCTTAAATATTTAACACAGAAAGTTAAAACAATGTTTCTCACTTGAATTTATACATAAGCTAACCAATACAATAGTTTAATTTACATTTTTTCTATTTATTTCACTATTTAAAACACTTTTAAATTTCTTATACAAAACTATCATTATTTCACTTATACACAGGAATTTTCACATGAAAATAACACAGAATTTACCTTTTTAGCACGTACAATTAACCTGAAATATTTTACAAGTAATTTTTACATAAATCACTGAATTACAAACATTTTAAATTTTTACATATTCGGCCTCCTAAGGGCGTGGCCAGCGTGCTTCCGTGTACTCACGCTATGTGAACAACTAACTTTGCACGGCTCTCGGCTATCAGAAAAAATTAAATTATGAAATACACCAATTTTGACCATATTAGGCAAATTAAATGCTTTTATACAATTTTCGAACTGTATGAAACTATCTTTAATCAGATAACAATATAAATGAATGTTCTCATTAATCAATCATAACAAATAGGCATTTGTTTTCGTACAAAACGTATCAAACTTATACAAAACAACATTTATGCAATTAATATCCATTAATTCTGCCTATGCACAGAGTGATTATCTCGACCGGGGAACAAATCCGATCTTTAACTTCGCTTTAATATTCTTATGAATTTACATCATTTGAAAGATGATTTCAACCGGGGAACAAATCCGGTAACATAATTTATATCTTAAATTCCTTACGAATTTATTAAGCGATATTACTTAGGAAAACAAACAAACTAGTCCGGCCTGGGAGTCGAACCCAAGACCTTCATATCATTAATTCGACATTTCTTAAAGATTTAACTAAGCATTCTCTTATCAGAGCGTCGTTGCTCGTGACTACCCCTTTTTTCATAGCAACGTCATCGGTTGATTTAATAAACTGAAACATTTTTATAGGCGCGTCGCCAACAATCTCCCCCCCCGTGCGTTAGCACCATCATTTGGGAGGCGTCG